ACACACACACACACACACACACACACACACACACACACACACACACAGCTTTTTAAATTCTTTCTCTTTCATAATCACCTGACTTCAAGCTGCTGATATGCTGCTTATCACCTGGTTTCAGTGAAACCAACAGTTGAGACAAATTCTCATTATTCCCCAAATTCAAACTAAAATAAAAGCAGAAACAAAAACACTGTGTTGTCTTACATGCCCTCAGCAGATGGGTCAAATCTGCCTCCTGCCAAGCCTGTCAAACAGCGACAAAATTGTTCAACAGTGTACTGTACAACTGCAGCTGCACTGTAATTAGCCCCAAAGATGTGCACACACACACACTCACACATATACACAAAGCCTGCTGGGAGGGGGATTCCTACAGCAGATGGTGGAGCGTCCCTCCTGGACAGAGACTGCGATAGTCAGAGCCACACCCGTCTACACTTACCACACAATTGCCACACAATTAATGAAGGTAGAGTTAGCTAAAAGCTATTTCAGATTAACAGAGCTGAGAACGTGTCATAAAGTCGAGCTCCGCATTCAAAACATATGAAAAGCCTGAGAAGTTCATTTGATACACTCAGCATCCTGCATTCAGATACAAGGTGGAAGTCAGATTAAAGCAAGAGTGTGAGATGCAAGTGCAATGAGCTGTGTAATGAACTGCTAAGCTGTGAGGGATTACAGACAGCCGGGAGCTCTGTGTTTGTGCAGCGGGTCTCTCCTCTCTTCCACGGAGCCAATCAAACTCTGTCCTTTTCTGCACTCCCGAAACATTTCATCTTTATCGGTCTTAGTATTTCTTACTCAACCGTGAGTCTTTGCTGTGCGAGCTCTGCTTGTGCAGACTAAAACACCGAGGCACTCGGGGATGGGGCTGATGCTGAGGAATTACAACTGGCAGCACCCAGTTTAGTTGCCATGGCAATGCTGTACGGCGGCTCAACGAGATAAAGGTCAAGATACCTCAAAGGAACTTGGCTTCCAGTGTCCAACCTACTTTTTCTTTTTCTTGCAAAACTGATCCTCATTGCATCTTCATCCTTATGTAACGACGTATTTCTTATGACATCGCTGCTGCCGTTGCCAGTGTCTTGCAGATGAACCCCTACAGAGGCGCTGATCGGCGTCTGAAGACTGAAGGAGAAACATCCGAGGAATGTGGGCATTCCAGGCGTCCATCATTTAAGGTAACAGCAGTTACGCAGCAATGCACATTCACGGCTACCAGGCAAGACACTCCCTTCCTTCTATACTGCACACTCCTTTAAGTGTGCTTTGTTCAGCTTTAAACGAAAACAGAAAGTGTATCAAACAGAAAGCAGAAAGTCCGACCTGTTTCATGTTACATAATAATCCAGAACCACATTTATGAGTCTGTTTTTGATGCTGAACTGTATTTGGCTGCACGGCGCAGTTAAAGCTGACACAGAGTCGGCTACAGTGTGCGGCTGACACTCATAAAGTCTGCCTTTATGGACACTTTTTTCAGCTCGAGAAGAAATGACTCAAATTGGTAGAACGTTAACGTTCCACAAATGGGGCATTCAAAGCCATGAATGGTGAATGATCGCTCCGATGTGAAAAGACCAGTCTTTTTAAGGACACCAGAAGATCGTTAGCGTACAGGAAGGACCAGAATTTCTACACCGAGGAAAATAAGCATCACAAATCATCACGAATCCAAGAGAACATATTGATAATGCATCAGTTTGTTTTTTAAAGCGGAGGCGAGCCCGCAGCGCCAATAACGAGTGTTTAAATGAGTATACGGCATGTTGTTTTTGCAAAGCCAGCCAGCTCTTGTGCAGTGACGCAGACTGCCAGCACCTCTCCGCTGGGACCACCACACACTCACAAATACACCTTAAGTGAAGCACACACCCACACCGACACACACCACACCCAGCACAGCCATACACAAATTTACTTCATACCCTACAGAGAGTTGTAGATCTGCAGCCCTCCTGCTTCTATTTATGGTCAGAGAAACTAGGCCGAGAGTCCAATTTAACAGCAGAGAGGGAAACTCAGAGTTATAAGGAGCAGAGAAAGATGGCGGCTACATCAGATCAGTCAGGACTGGGTTGGTTGGTAAAGCATATGTTTCCTTTGTTGATTATAAATGTGTGTGTTCCCCTTTCCCCTGGTTTCACTGTGAGTAAGCCTGAGGGAGAAGGAGCCAGTGGATGGAAGTCGTTGACTGTGGCCGGCGTGTGAACCGCTCTGCTGATGTGGCCCATCCTTCTACTGCGTTCCTGCAAAGAGGGTGATTCCTTTTCATGTGTCACCCCCCCCCCCCATCAGTATAAATAGTCTGGGAAGGAGAACAGCGACGACTGAGGACAAAATGTCTGTTTTCTGGCTCCTCTTGTAACCAAATGTTGGATTTGAGCGTGTGAGACAGAGAGACTCAGAAGAAACAGCCTGGGAGACAGCAGCAGAGCGCAGAGGTAGGCCAAGATGCAGAGCGGCTCAGACTGCTGCAGAGGAGAAAGCTGACCACAAATATGCCCGACTGTGGCCGGCGGGCTCCTGACCGACTGCTCTCCTCCCTCGCCATGTGGCCGCACTGGGCGGGGGAGCAGTTTTTCCATTCCACTTCCTTTGCCTGCCACACAGAAAGGAAACGTGATGCA